GAACCCTGGAGACGCACTGCACATAAACGACTGTTGACGGGGATCCAATCGATAAGAGAGGACTCCATCCTATTACTCAGTACAATACCTACTCTGCGCCGACCTACTGAACGAGCTTCATCGTCGCCTGATGTACGAAGAACGTATCTCGAAGACAAATCTGGCGCGCTCAAGTGGCTTAGAGTAGTAGGATCCTGGATTCGAGTTTCCGATACGTAGCAAATATCGACTTCTAAGGATTCCATTGTACGACCCAGACAAGCTTGTTGACATAGCTGCTGCATCAGAGTCCCCACGTTGAAGGCCCCCAGATTCAGTGATTGACGAGGCTTTAGAATCTGCGATCCATTCCGTGGTAAATCACTTACAGTGCTCTTTGGCAATGACCTTTGGCGAGCGACATCCAAGTTGCTTGAGGGACTATTGCAGATCGGAAGAAGGGTAAAGGGAGAGAGTTGGGAACGGAAGACACGGAGTTAAACAGAGGTTGGGATATTTGAGCAGTAGCCCACCCCGATCGACGCAATGGACAGCGCGGTTCCGATTTTACTGCGCGACGACCGATGCAATGTGAAATTATTTTTATTTTGTGTATTCATTGGGGTTTGGTGGACAGGTACTGCTAGGGTGTCCAGCTACTAAGCAAGAGAGCGATTAGGGTTCTCGTCCAAAGCCTTGATTTCTAACAAGAACATAACCGCAAGGAAACGGGTAAAGTGAAGTTGAGGCGCTTTTACTTGGATAGATTATCCCTCCACCATTTTTACCGGGTGAAACGCAAATTCCAGTCGAACCCCCAACCTGGGGGACCAGGAGAGTGAACTTCGTCTGACCTCTACCCATGGACCTTCCAGGTATGATTAAATCTCTTTGTTTGACAAAAGCCATCCTGTATAGCTCGTTTGATCACCGAAGTGCACTGGCCATCACTCCGCGTCAAGGTGCAGCCTCGTGGTGACATTAAATGGAGTGAAGAGCTTCTGGAAACAACATCCTACTGAGTACAATGAAATCCCCTTGATTACACGGTGGGAATGATGGGGTTCTTTTCAGTCTATCAGCTCGCTCGTTTGGGCTAAGATACTAAGGCGTTGTTCTTCTAAGGGTCGTCTCGTTCTTATAAAAAAGCTGTTTAGTGTTGTAGACATGAATAGGGAACAGTATGTGAATTGTTGTAACATTACTTATCTCATGGGAGAACGGAGAGTTAGAGGTTGTCATATGAATTATCCTTGAGGCTTATTTTGACGAGAAAATGGTGTTTAGTATGACTAATTAATCTTGTGGATCTCATTACTTGTGGGGAGTTGGCTGAAAACCTTGATTCCAAGTCAACCAATAGGAAGCGTACGAACCATCCCCATCCACACCTTCCTGGTTGTGGTAGTGGTCATCGTCTGGATTGGGCATCGAGGTGTATTGAGCACATTGAACCTTGATCCCCGTCTGAAGGGTGTGTGATCCGATGAACTGGACACGGGCCCCCAATAAACATAAATATTGAGAAAAAACAGCATGTTGACAAAGTACTGGAAGTCGGTTCTCGTAGCTCGGGAGAACTGAATTCCATTTTGCCTGTTCGCTGAGCTTGGTAATTTGATGGCAAATGTTTCATCACCAGCCGAGATGAGCAAGTTGCCATGCTTGGCAAACAGGCGAAATGGAATTCAGTTCCACCGAGCTACGCTAACCGATTTCCAGTACTTTGTCAACATACTGGTTTTTCTCAGTATGTATGTTTATCAGGTTTTGGTGAATACAAAGTTCAGTGTTGCTGTTCGTAATATTGTTTTTTTAGATTTTCGGGTACTCAAAGATGTGTTCGGAGTAATGTTTGCCTCCGCGACGTATACTCTACCATCATTAACTTCCCTCTGGCCTAATTATCTGGATGTACACATGAGATCGAAGTGTAGATCAGTAGACTACTATTTAGTGGTAACAGGGCTGGCAATTGGTGCTTTACGGTATATGATCTAATCGATTGACTAGTTGATATCATCTAACAAGCTTGGTGATCGATGTCTTCGTTGTGGCTCGACATAATAGCACTCCTAATTCAAGAAGCTTGATGAGGATCATCACTTCGGGTCTCAGGACTTGGAGTAACGATTTCCTCTGCTCCTGGTACCGAGACTTTGCTTTTTATTAAAGTAGTGCAGAGATCATGGAAACTGCCCACTCGCAGTAACCGCACCCCTTCAAGGTTCACCCAGCGGCCATTAACTACCCACCGCGTTTCTGTCCTGTTCATTTCATCATGCATAAAAAAACGAATCTTATCGTTTCATTTCAGGATATATGGAAGGACGCAGAAATTGTGAGTATGTCAGCCGCCGCCAATACAGACACAGCCTTTGGTGCGATTCGAGGTGTTCGAAAAGGCATGCTGCGCACAGTCAGCCAACTGTACAAAGAATCCCTTGTCCGTTTAATGGGTGTTCTAAAGAACACTTCCCCAAGCTTTGTGCGTTGCATCATTCCCAATCACGAGAAGCGTCCGGGTCGCATCGATGCACCGTTGGTACTAGATCAGCTCAAATGTAACGGTGTGCTAGAAGGTATCCGCATCTGTCGCCAAGGTTTCCCGTCTCGCGTCTTGTTCCAAGAATTCCGACAACGCTACGAGATTCTCACTCCAAACATCATCTCTAAGGTACGTTTTTTGCATTATTTATTCTACTGATTGTTCACTCCTGCAACAACTTTTGCTCAAACGACGCCCTGTCTGTTTCGCTTTCACGATTCATAGGGATTCATGGATGGTCGAAAGGCCGTAATGAAAATGCTGGAAGTGCTTGAGCTAAACTCCGGCCTATATCGCATTGGTCATAGCAAAATCTTTTTCAAAGCCGGTGTTCTTGCCCAATTGGAGGAAGATCGTGACATTCATCTAACAGATATCATCATTCGATTCCAAGCTCGTGCTCGCGGTTATCTAGCTCGCAAGTGAGTCATTTTGTACTGAACCTTCCTTGTTGACACTCGTTTAACGTCTGAAGTCCTTTGCTTGCCGATGAATGTCTAAGATACTAGAAAATCCACTTCATTCATCACCTAGATTTTCGTCAAGATGGCTGGATTTTCAACCACATCTTATGTACCTGGCATGGTGTTGCTATAATCTTACCCGACGATCCATCAAGACCAGACTGCACCTTGACATGGTGTGATGGCTTGTGCACCTCTATGACCCAACGAGCTACACAGGATGGCTTTTACCGAGCCAAAGATCTAATCATACCTGGAAGGTCCATGGGTAAAGGTCAGACGAAGTCCAGTCTCCTGGTCCCCCACGTTGGGGGTTCAACTTGAGTCGGCGTCTCAGTCGATTAAACGTGTTGGAGGAATAATTGATCCAAGGTAATGGGCCTCCAATCCGCCTTAACCGCTGCCTTGCGGTTAGGTTTCTGTCAAAACTAAAGGCTTTGGACGAGAACCCTAGCTGTTCTCCTGCTTAGTGGCTGGACACCCTGGTAGTACCCGTCCATAAAGCTCCAATGAACACACAAACAAAAAATCATTTCATACTGCATCGGTCGTCGCGCAGGATAATCAGCACTGCGCTGCCCATTGCATCGAGCGGGGTGGGTAGTGATAAGTGGGCTACTGCTCAGACATCACAACCTCTGTTTAACTCTTTGTCTTCCGTACCCAACGCTCTCCGTTTACCCCTTATTCCGACCCGTGATATTCCCTCA